ATCTGCGGTACCAGATATACAGGGTGGGGCAATAACTATGTCCACTTTGAATATTGCTGTTATTCGTAATAATATGAAAAAGTGTTATATACAAAACTTACACGGTATAGAGGGGGCACATTGTGACACAAACATTTTCTGCGTGGGTGAAGACATAGAAGAGATTTCAAGGTCATCTCTATTTTTTGTAATGGAATGCTATGTTTTTTTTATCGCGATGTGATAGCCGGTGTTGAGACGACTTCAACGAGCTATCATTGAAGGTCACGCAAAGTCAAATGTGGTAGTAAAATAAACTTTCTTACATTACATTACTTTCATACAAAGTTGCAATCTTCGTATCACTGCACCACGTGCATGTCTTATCGTTTCTGAACTTATTCCTGCACATGCTGCAATTATCCGTTGTTTCATCTTTTCTAGTGTAGTGGGTACTTCTTGATAAACAGCATTTTTCAATACTCCCCAGAGAAAAAAATCTCATGGGCTTAATTCCGGAGAACGAGGTGGCCAAGAAACTAATCCTCCGCGTCCTATCCATTTATTTGGGTAAAGTTCGTTCAGTGCATCTCTTACTCTCCGAGCATAATGTGCTGGACACCCGTCGTGCTGTAACCATATCATTTGGCGAACGTTTAGTGGTACATTTTCTAATAAAGTCCCCAATCTACTTCGTATAAAGTGTGCATATCGTTCGCCAGTAAGATTTCCATCGATAAAATGCGGTCCGATTATTTGATCACCAACGATTCCACACTAACTGACCATTGTCGCTGATGCTCAACTTGTCGTAACCAGTGTGGATTATCGATACTCCAATAATGCATATTATGCAAATTGAGATTTCCATGGTTAGTAAACGTAGCTTCATCGGTGAAGAGTATTGAAGAAAAAAATGTTTCATCGATTTGTATTGTGTATAGAGCCCACTGACAAAATGCGACACGATTCATAAAATCCGTACCGTGTAACTCTTGATGAAGAGTAAGATGGTATGGATGAAATTTATGCCGTGCAAGTATTTGTAGGACGCTCCTTCTACTGATAGCCAACTCACGTTTAATCTGTCGGGAACAAATCTGCAGGTTATGAGCTACAACTGCAAGAACACCAACTTCATTTCTTTCATCAGTTGCTCTTTTATGACGACTGCTCTTACGAGTACCCAAATTTCCGGTTGCTTTCAATTTTTTGCACAGTCTTTGAAATGTTTGAACTCTTCAAGGATTGAACTCTTATCGAATTTTGTCGCATTGCTCCATAAATGAGGATCATATCCACTTGCTCTTCGAAAGAAAACTTCATTTTGATGATCACGCAGCTACTTGACTTAGCAATCGACCAAAACTGACTACCGATTCATGTTAATGTTACGAACTGATGGGATGTTTACATTTTTAGCTATACGCGATGTATTGCCACAACATAAACAATGTTACAAGACCATTAGTTTATGTAAAAGTGAGGGTCTATGAAGTAATAAAGCATGTGCTAAAATAAGTTCAGAAACGATAAGACATGCACGTGATGCAGCGATACGAAGATTGCAACTTTGCATTGACGCAAACGGTCAGCATTTCGAGCATCTCCTGGAATATAAGAAAATTTATTTTACTACCAAATTTTTGCCCTTGCATGACCTTCAATGATAGCTCGCTGAAGTCGTCTCAACACCGGCTATCACATCGCGATAAAAAAACATAGCATTCCATTAAAAAAAAATAGAGAGTACTTTGAAATCTCCTCTATGCCTTCACACACCCAGAAATTGTTTGTGTCACAATATGCCCCCTCTATACCGTGTAAATTTTGTATAGAACATTTTTTTGATATTATTACAAATAACGGCAATATTCAAAGTGGACATAGTTATTGCCCCATCCTGTACATATCTCTGTGAGCTTTTATCTGGAATAAGTGTTTTAAATTTCATATTAAACTAGGCAAAATTAACTAATACTTATCGAACCCGATTATGAAAAATTTTACAAAATGGCGACTGTCTGAACTTCATGTTGTTGTTTCCGACATAAATTTTCGACTTCTTTTGTTACTAAAAAAAAATGCACGAATCAAAAATTCGTTTCGTGGAGTACTAGATTTTAGTCTTAAGAGTATTAGTACTAAGTTTGTATGTTTGCATATTCTTTTTAAATATTTCTGGTACCGATTTTGAAAACTGCTTTTCAAGTAAACATTTTTAAATGGCAGCCATTTTCTTCTAATGATAGATATATCGCTCAATTTTTCAAAAATTACTAAGGAAATAACATACAATAAGATGTATGTGTTGAATTTTTAACAAACCATCATTCTGTATATAAAAAATTTTTTAATTTTTCATCTTATTGAACAGCTCAAAGGTATATAACCCCTTAATCATACACGTGTGGGTGAATACAAGCAGCTTTTATTAACACTTATTTATGAATTACATGGGTGTATGAATACTTTTGCTGCCTACTATACGGACATATTGTAGATTACATTTATGTCTAATCGAATCTTTCAAGTAAATAAATAAATTTAAAATTATTTTAGAAAGTATTAACAATCGCTTAATAAAACCTACAATCTTTAACGTTTCCAGAACTATGAACGTACCAGGAGAATAATCTTTCACACAATAGATGTTATACAAGAGAATCCTTAGACTATACGACGACCGTTTTTACATTAAATCACGGTTCGTTGAATAATTTTATCTTGTACTCATAGTTCTGGAGATGTTTAAGGTGATAAACTTAATGATCTACCGTGTAGACATATGTTTTCATTTCTGATCTCTATGCTATACACGTATACGTATTCTCTCGAGTAAACTTAATCGTCATAGACTGTAACTACGAGCAAAATTTCGTACGATTTTCAGTAACAGAATCATAAACAATATTTTGGTCATCAGGACAGTTTCAAAACCATAACTGTAATTATACAATACTTTCGAAGCCTTTAATCTCTGCATTTAACGCGTTGGCTGGCTTGAAACAGGTACTTCTACTGTCGCAGCTAGACCTCCTTTCACTCTACTTTTCCTGGCCCTCGAAGCAGTTGTCTAGTCTTAGACTATTCGGAAATGAGTACAGTATAACATCGGTTGTACGTACTAACCAAGTGACATTGATATTCGAATAATCGAATTTTTAGAGTAATCAGACATATATATTTATGTTAATATAACAAGTAACATACGGAACTCACTAAGGTGGAATAGATATTGGCAGAAAGTTGAAGGAAGAAATTGTGATCTATGCGGAGACAGATTTGGAACACTAGAACATTTAGTGGGGGATCGTGGGAAAACAGAAGCAGGAGTTAGGATAGAAGACGCGGTGAGTGGAAAATTTGAAACAAAAAAGGAGGGAGGAAAAAGAAAGATGTGCAATACGGTGATAGGAAATAAGTAGTAAGAAATAAGTTAGGATTTAATATAGAAAGGGACTGAAAGGAGAGAGTAAATGAGAACAATGCGTGAGTTAAATTAACACTGTAAAGTTAGGAAAGTTGTAAACTAAGTCCAAATTTCTTGGTTGTCAGATTAAAATAAAGAATGTATCTATCTATCTATTTATGTTAATATGAGAGTATAACTATAGTAATACACAAGATATACCACGAAAAATTATCACTTTAAATATATCTGGTAATATAATAATAGGAAAAGAAATGATTTTTCAAATAAAAATTGTTTAGTTCAAAAAAAGCCACGTGAATCATAAGAAAACAATGTGATCATAATGATTTTCTTATAAAATCCTAATACAATTGAACAGTTCAACACGTAAAAGTAAATAGAACTATTCTGTAAAAGCCTCCGTTTTTTAGAAAATCTAATTTGACTATTCATCGGCTATAAGCACTATTTTAAGAAGAATTTCATTAACATTTCTGTTCGTTATCTATCATTTCTACTTACTTCAACCACCGCAAATACAATGTGTTATACCAGAAAAATCAACGAAAGCTGGAATAATCACACGAAAATGTCTTTAGTGTAGTAAGATTTCTGTCTGATTCCAAATAGAACAAAAACTTCGTATTAGACATAATTAAACTTCTAATTTATCACGTTTTACATATTGGTGGATGCTATATATGCATAATATCTGTAGTCTAATAAAAAAGAACTTTTCCCGATATGCCGTCAGTATTAACAAAAATTTAACCACTCTCTTGGTTTTCACTCAGTTCCATCGAAATTTTCTTAACATACTGATTTTAAATCAGTTTCTATTTTTTTGTGTGATACTACAGTATTTCGAACGTACTTCGATGACACAATACTTAAAGTTTTTTTTGTAAATCAAATTTTCATTGACTCAATCTTTCCTGATTTTATAAAAATTCATTGATAGCTAATTTCATTAATAAACACGATTCCACAAAAGTATTTGGTTGTGAAGTAATAAAATTCCATTCTGCGGAATGGAAATGTATCGTTCCACTTTGGAAGTTTATAAAAATAGAAAAATACTTTCAAGAATGTAAATAGAAACAAGTTTACCAACGAATTATATTATAACTACACAGATAGATTACCTTTTTGAAGGTACGTAGGTACCTACTTTAGAGAATATTTATAAAAGTGTTCTTAAAATAAAGCTAAACATGTCTGGAATCTTATCAGCGTTTAACGATATTTTTTAAGTAGAGTAAAACGTAAAATATTAAATGTCTCGAAATAAAGAAAAGTGGACTTATACCACTTTCAAAAAACAATGGCTCATATAATGTACGTGGAACATTAATGTAAACATATTACTCTCGATTTACTAATTATTAAAACACAATAATGACATTAATCGCTTAAACTTGTCAATAGACACAAACAAACGGGATTGTATTAGGAGATCTTAATGATTTATCGTATAACCGAGAAATGAAGATGCTGATCCTATTTCAGTTCCATTGTGCTCGTTGACATGTTTTGACCCTTCCTACGCAACAAAATTCTCCATTTCACTGTTGCTGATCTATTGTGCCTTGATGGTTTGTTGCAGTGCGTACTACAAAGAGCCGGAAACTGGCGGTTTAATGCGTTTACACTAGAAACAGTGACAGGAGGTAAGCAATTATACAAAAATACATTTTAATGCTTATTCGTTTATGATTCATTCTTATAATTAACACATATTACAACGAATATGTAAATAAAAACATTTACGTACGTAAACATATCTATGTAAGTGCATGAAACATTCATTGGCAAAATTTTATTTAACTTATACATTACTACATGTACTAGTAGAATAATAAATACAGTATACGTTAAGGGAATAATAAAAATTGTACATCAGTAGAATAATAAATATTTCAGTGAAATTATTATCGTAATAGAACTGCGAAAGGGTTGATACTTCATACAGAAAATATATTAAAAATCTGGAATAGTACATTTTTGATACAACGCTTTATTTTTTCGAATATTGGTTATTATAGAGCTCTCGCGATTATTGACTCTTTGTTGATATGCGATTATTGTCCAGGCGTAATCCCCACCACTGGGGGGGAGGGAGGTTGTGGAACTCTGCGACGACTGAACGTTGGGAGCCCACAAAAAGGTTACATTCCCAGGTGTTAGTCAGACAATACTAATGCAACAATAAAACTTTTCTATTTTTGATTCTTTATTAATGAAACTTTTATAAACATATTGGTGAGATTTATCTGATTAAAATGATACCAAACATGACACAATTTGGGTCATATTTACTTATGATTTAGAATGAATCAAAAAAATATCATCAATATACTAGTAAAAGTTTCATTAACAACGTATCCAGATAAAAAAGTTTCATCGTTGCATTAGCAATGCTATATATGAGTAAATATGATCCAAATTGCGTCGTGTTTGGTATCATTTTAATCAGAAAAGTCTCATCAATATACCTAACCAATATATCTTAACCTTAAACTGAAGCATCGGATATTTTTATTCCCGTCAAATCATATAGATACACGTAATATGAATGGAATATATAACACTTCACTTGTGCTAATGATACTCAGAATTCATGCTTTATCGGTAACGTCAGGTATTTTACACTAAAATGGTAACAGGGCTACGCAGCCCTCGCGAACGTGGGACAGAAAAAAGCATTGGATGATAGGTCTATTCTATACCTAGTCGGTGGTGAAAGCGTGTGCATGGGGAAGTGAGAGAAGGAAGATTAAAAGACAAAATTAAGAGAGGAAAAGGAAAAAGGGAGCGAAAGAAAGAACTGAAAACAGGGTGGAAATGAGAAGTGTGAGTGGGATAATATGGAGGTGAACGGGAATGAGTAAGAGGAGAGGAAGGAAAGTGTAGGGGTCGAGATTAGGTTAGGTGTAAAACCAGGAAAACCAGTAGACCGAAGTAAAGAGGTCGGTAAGGTAGAAATAGATGAAACCGACAGTGGATAAAGCAGAAAGACGATGGCTAACAGGAGCAGTAAGGGGGAGAAGACACTAAAAAGTTATGGAGTGGGGAATGAGAAAGAAGAGAAGATGGAAACAAGAATGGTGAGAGCGATGAAGGAGTTAGGAGAGATGCAAAGGAGAATAAGAAAGCTGGAATGGGATAAGGAAAAACGAGAAAGAAAAAGAAGGAAAGTAAACATAGTAATAAAGGGACAAGAGTTTGAAGAGGACAAACTAGAAGAAAAAGTGGAGGAATTTGCTCAAAAAAGATTAAGGATGGAGATAAAATTAGAGCAGGCATATTTGGTGAAAGCAAGGAAAGAAGATGGAAAAGGAAGAATGGTGATAGCATAGCTGGAAAAGTGGGAAACGAAGAATAGCATAATGAGAAAGAAAGAGTTGAAAAGGGGCCTATATATTGGTGACTACTTTACAAGGAAGGAAAGGGAGATACAAAGGGAAGTAAGAAGGAGGGCGAAGGAGGAGAGAGATAAAGGGAAGAAAATGAAAGTAGTGTACATGAAAGTAAAAGTAGACGGTATATGGAAGAAGTGGGATGAATGGGGGGAAACATTTTGTGAAGAGGAGCGATTATGAAGGTGTGTTTTTGGAATATGGCAGGAGTATGGAACAAGGACGAGGAAACATGGGAGTACATACAGGGGTTTAATATAGTGGGACTGGTTGAGACATGGGTGGAGGAGAGAAGTTGGGACAGGGTGAGAAGAAAGCTACCAAAGAACTTTGAATGGAGGTGCAATTATGTGACAAGAGAAACTAGGAAAGGGAGGAATCATCACAGAGGTAAGGAAAGAAATAGAAGAAATATTCTATATGGAGTGGAACAACAATATAGTGGAGAGAAGAGTGATATGTAGGGGGAAGGAATGGAAAATAGTATCCGTGTATAGCCAAGATGTGAGGGAAATAATAAAAGATCATCACAGAGAGGGTAGACGAAAGGGAAGAAGGGGGAATAATATTAGGAGGTGATTGGAACGCGAAGACGGGAAGGGAGGGAGGGATGATATCGGAAGACTGGGAGAAAGAGAAAGGAAGGAATTCGAAAGACCCGATAGTGAACAGCGACGGAAGGAGGCTAATAAATGAAATAAAAGAAAGAGGGTGGATCATAGTGAATGGAAGTAACGGGGGAAAAGGAGAGCACATGTATGTGAGAGCAAATGGCAGGTCAGTGATTGATTACATAATCGCAAATCAGGACGGAGTGGAGCGTATGCAAACGTTAAAGGTCTGATAGGACGGAATCAGACCACATGTAGTTAGAGTTGGAACTGGATGGAGTGGAGGAGAGAAGGAAGGAGGAAGGAAAGGAAAGGGACAGGCTTATTAGAAGGGAGGATTGGTCGTAGGCAGGAATTAACATGTATCATGAAAATTGCAATGGGTGGTAGGTAGTGCAGGGCGGAAGAAGAGGGGAAAATGTGCGAAGAAATAAAAGAGAGAATACGGGTGGCAGTGCCAAAAATAAAGAGAAAGAAAGTGGAATATAAGACAGGCAGCAGATCTCGGCATGGCAAGCACAGGAAGGAGAAGAAAAGGGAGCTAAGAAGGATACTGAGGAAGAGGAAGAAGGGGGGTGTATGGGAGAGGAATATGTGGGAAAAAGGAAAGAATACAGGAAATGGTACGGAGGGAGAAGAAAAGAATACGAGAAAGAGGAGGAGGAGGAATTAAGGAATATAGAGACAGGACAAGAGGTATGGAAATATACAAATGAATTCGGGAGGAGAAAAGAGGGAGTGGAGGAAAGCATTGGAATGGAGGAATAGAGGGGACATTATATGCAGAAGCTAGGGGAAATGAAGAAAGAACAGTGCTAAAGGGAGAGGAAGACGGGGGTAAAGATGAAGAGAAAGAGGAGGAGAACGGAAGGGAATACGAGGATGTAAGTAGGGAGGAGTTAATTCAACTGTTAAGGAGACTAGAACTAGGGAAGGCACCAGATGAGTACGGTATAAGGAACGAGATATGGAAATATATGCCGAGGGAAATAGGAGAAGTATTTTGGGGAATGTTGGGAAAATTATGGAAGGAAGGAGGCATACCCAGGGATTGGAAGAACGGGGTAATAAGTCCAACATATAAAATGGGAAACAAGAGGGAAATTAAGAACTACAGGGGGGTTACCCTTATGGATACAGTTTATAAAATATATGCAGGCATATTAAATGAACGGCTAGTGGCAGAAGTAGAAGGGAAACTAGGAGAGGAGCAGTTTGGGTTTAGGAAGGAAAGGGGAAAGGTGGACGCGATATACGTATTAAATCATATAGTGGACAAAGGGTTGAACAGGAAGAAAGGGAAGGTGTTTGGATGTTTCGCAGATTTGAAGGAAGCATTCGACATGAAAGACAGAGGGATATTGAGAAGGAATATAAAAGAAATTGAGATAAGTAAGAGGATGAGAGAAAGGATTATGGAAACGTATGAAGACACGACGAACATGGTAAGGGTGGGAAAGAACGTGTAGGGGGGATTTTGGACGACAAGGGGTCTAAGGCAGGGATGCCCGCAAAGCCCAACACTATTCAATATTTACATGACGGACTTGGAAAGGTACTTGAGAGCAGGGCAAGTAGGAGGAGTAGTTATAGGCAGAAGGAAGGTATGGACAATTATGTATGCGGAGGATATAGTGCTGTTGGCGGAACGGGAGAAGAGAATGAAGGAAATGGTGAAGAGGTTTGGAATGTATTTGAAGATAAAGAAGATGGAGCTAAGCCCGGAGAAAACGAAGATCGTGGTGTTCGAGAAAGGAAGAGGGGCAGGAAGAAGAAGGGTATGGAGGTGGGGGGTGGACGAAATTGGGGAGGTGAAGGAAGTAGGGTATAGGTTACAGAAAAATGGAGGGGCGGAAAAGCATTTAAATGAAAGGAGGAAGAAGGCAATAATTGCAATGAAAAGCACGTGGAGCATAGGAGAAAGGATATTTAAAGAAAGTTTTGCAAGGAGGATGAAGATGCACACGGCGTTAGTGGAAAGTGTGGGGTTGTATGGAGCGGAGATATAGGGGTGGTAGAAGGACGAGAAGTTGGATGGAGTAGCAAGGAAGTATGTGAAATGGGTGTTGGGATTCGAGACGACACCGAATTATACAGTGGACGAGGAAAGTAAGATAGAGAGCATGAAAATAAAAGCATTGAGAAGGGCATTGAGGTACGAACAGAATGTCAGAGGATCAAAGAAGGTGCTGGTGATGATATGTCAGGAGGGAAAATGGGTAAAGATGAGGGAAAGGGCCCTGGAAAAAGAAGGAATGGCAGGAAGAAATAAGACGAAAGGTGGAGAACAGGAAGACGTTACAACAGAGAAAGTTTTGGAGGGGATGAAGAGAATATATGCGGAGGAAAAGAAGACAAAGGTGCAGGAGTCCAGATATAACAGTTTATGTAAAGTGTTGTTGCAGAATCAAAGACCAGGCTATTTGGAGGGAAGAATGAAAAACAAGGATCGGAAATTGATAGCCAGATATAGATGCGGGAATGAAGGAAGAGCGAGAAGGACTATTGGAAAGAGATAGTGCAGGATATGTGGGGAGAAGGAGGAAACAATAAGGCACGTGCTGGAAGAATGCGATGAAACGAAAGGGGAGGAGGAATGCAGGAGGTGTTAGGAAACAGGGGGCCCAGAATTGAATTCCT